ATGCAGCAACTCTTACTTTTCAGTTCAGGATGAGAGAATTCCTAATCTGTGTCTTTGAAACTTCCAACAAGTTCTAATGCAAAAATGGGAAAGATCAGATCTAATAATCCTTATTTTTCTAAAGGTATAAAATAAGCAGCAGCATGGAAAGAAGGGGGAAGCTTCTAGCAGAAGCATAAAAAGTGCACAACTCATTTTTTTCAGGTGTGTGGTTTAGTCTTGCACTGTACATGAGATCAAAGAGTACTTCAAATATTATCTCTGTCTCACACTGCATCTGTGCAGTCTGCAGATCAGAAACATTAATTAAAATATAATTCAGTCCCTTTTGGGGAGGAAAATAGAACAACAAATTCCCACTGGTGCAGCTCTTTTGGTGGTAGCACAGTCCCTCTGTAGCCCTGCCCATGTAGTCATTTTGTATGAATCTACCCTCATTTTGTAGATTCATACAAAATGAGGGTAAAGAACTACCAGGGAAGCATTATTTATACATCTGCTTTCTAGGGTTATCATATTTCAAGTTCCCAAATAGAGGACACAGAAGGGGGGAGAGTGAGCAGGAAGCAAGTACAACCCTACCACATCATGCCACTCTTGCTTCTGCACTGCTGCTGGCAGTGACAGCTGGCACAAGCTCAGGACACAGTGACAGCTGACAGTCAGCACATACCTGAGGGATCTCCTTCCCAGAACTGGAAGCGAGGTGGGTGGGATCCAGCCGTTGTAGTTGCCAGGCAGTAGACCAACCAATTGCCAATGAAGGGGAGGTACCAAAATCAAAAAGCAGACTAAGTGGGGCTCTTTCTGAGCTGCAGCAACTCTGTAAAAACACTAGACATGTTTTGTTATTGAAAAATCCACCTGGATAAAGGTTCAGAAAAAGCGGCTGGGAAACCTGGACATATTCAAGTCAACCCTTCAAGTGACCTATTGTAAATAGAATAGTGATAGAAATGTAGCCGTGTTAGTCTGGGGTAGCTGAAGCAAAATGCAGGACAATGTAGCACTTTAAAGACTAACAAGATGGTTTATTAGATGATGAGCTTTCGTGGGCCAGACCCACTTCCTCAGATCAAATAGTGGAAGAAAATAGTCACAACCATATATACCAAAGGATACAATTAAAAAAATGAACAAATATGAAAAGGACAAAAAATAGTCACACAAGCTGCAGAACAAATGTGTCCAGCAACAGTTTTCAACACCACATCCATTAAAAGACACAGACATGGGGTAAATTAACACAGTGCAGCATGTGGCTGCTGGAGAACTGCCTACACTAAAGGCCTTTCTTAAAGGAACTCTAGGGTAGGCACAATTATACCAGCAGAAAAATGCCTGTGCCAGTTTATTCTGCTTTGGCCAGGTGACATAAGCTCTATGCTGGCTTTTGCTGGCATGACCAGTCAGTAAACAACCACACCTTTTATTGACATAGTCATTCTGGGCAAACTTTCCTATGGCCTGGTCTATGCTATGCACTTGTTCTGTTTAACTAGGTTAGTCAGGGGTGTGAAAAGGCCCACCCCAGCGGTATTGTTAAGTCAATTTAAGCCTCTGTGGAGAGTGCTAGCTTGACTGAAGTTCTTCTGTTTACCCTACTTGCCTGTGGAGGGGCTAGTTTACCTACACTAACAAAAAACCACCTCCCTCTGGCATATGTAGCAGTGTTTACACTGAATTATTACAGGTGTACAGGGGATGCAGGAATTACTAGGGGTGGGGAACCTCTGGCTTGGGGGCGGGATGCAGCCCCTGGTTTGCCTGGATCCAGCCCCCCAAGGCTCAGGGCTCCCCCATAGCATTGAGGAACCCACACTGCTGATGCTCCAGCCCTCCTGTTGCCCCACCATAGGACTAGAACATACAAAAGGGGGTGCAAAGGGAATGTGGAGAGTGTCTTTCACCTGTCAGGGGCCATGTCAGATTTTTTTTCCCCTCTCACTTTTGTGTGGCTCCCATCCCTGGATTAGATAAATCCTATTTTGCTACTATTGATAGGAAGTTTGCTACATGGTACAAAATCAATGTTTTAACCACATTGGGACACTCCTGGAAGACAACCAGCTCCTCTGATAGAGGAATTGGGGGGTGGCAGGGTACTGCCATTAATATTGTTAGCAGTTGCATTGTTTGGCTCTCTGTCCCAGAAACAATTCAGCGAATCAACAGTTAGAGAAAAGTCGCCACCCTGGTTGTTGCTGATCTGAGGCAGATTTGTACTAGCTCAGGATTAGCTTGAGAAGGGGTGTGACGCCTCCACTTGTTTTCATTGACTGAACCTGAATTTAATGTTTGTGCCCTGAAAGGCCTGGTCATAACTTGAGGTGGAAGAGGATTGAATAGCAGGGTTTGTATAGCATCCATCAACAGGATTTGAATAGGGCTGTCAAGAGAACATGTACGGTCGCTTTGCTGGGACAACACCGCTATAATCTCCTTCTTAAGTGCAGACAGTTCCTCTTTCATTAGGTCCTTGTCTTGAACAGTCTCCTGGGAGAGGCTCACATTTCTGGTGCTGGCCAATGCTGAAAAGTTTCACAGACTTTGGGGTCCATCCATACTTCAGGGCAACGGAACATCAGGTGCTCACTGTGGTATCTGGAGTCTCCACACCACAACTGCTGCAAAATACATCAGCTTTCAAACATGTTTCTTTTCTTTGCACCTGCAGCTTTTCTCCTGCACTCTGGTTCTTTGTAGCTTTTTAAAAAATTAAGTTTGGATTATTAAGTCTGCGGGGCAGTAACTTTCTTCATACTCAACTGCAAAGTGCCAAGTAAGAATAGGTCATAAGGCTGAGTAGTGATTTAGTCGCTGGGGCTGTAGTGCTTGATACAGTATGTAAAAAATAAGCAGACATTTTTAGCTGCTGCACTGAACCTCCCCTCCTCTCCTTTGACTGGGTCCCTAGTAGCTCTTAAAGCCCTGATAAAAAGATTGCAAGGACACGCAGACGCCTCAGTATTTTCAAGGGAAATAGATAGTATGATCAATCCTGGCTCCCATCCGTGCAACACTGGCTCTGTTTCATGGTAAACTGAGGCCTATTCTACTCACTAAAATTTGCCAATATAGCTATGTCAACTCAGGATGAAAAGGGAGGGGGGTGATAAATCTCACACAGGGAGCTGATACTGCTTTGTCAGCAAAACCCAGTACAGGCAGTCCCCGGATTACGTACAAGATAGGGACTATACGTTTGTTCTTAAGTTGAATTTGTACGTAACTCAGAACTGGCTCCAGATTCAGCTGCTGCTGCTGAAACTGACCAGGGGCTGACTACAGGAAGCCCGAGGAAGAGTTTCTCTGCCCCCAGCTTCCTGGAATCAGCCACTGATCAGTTTCAACAGCGGCTGAATCTGGAGCCTGGGACCGAACAGCTGGGGCGCTGCCCGGTAGGTTCCCACAGGACCAACCCGGCAGCACCCCAGCTGCTCTACCCAAGGCGTCGC